ACGAGAAGGGGGGAGGATAAGGGGAGAATACCGGTCCCTTTTTCTCCGAACAGGATACATCCGATACATGCTTCTCTCCATAGGAGACATAATTAGAAGCCGTCTGTGGTCGCGGATTACTGGATTTCTCGACGTATCAGTTCAGTACTGATTTCCGGTTAGATTCCACTTTCGCGGAATGTCGTTATCAATTAGCGACAAAATGGAAGCTATTCGCACGTAATCGTCACAACGTTCAATATAGTTTTTGTAAATTAACTTTAAATGAATTTATTTTCAATCAATATTTGTTCTAATCTACTTCTTGCGAGCCAAAAATAATATGATAGTAGTATTTATTTATATTAATCTTGGCTTCTGTGGGTGAATGTTCACCCAAATTCTAATTTTCCTCTTGAATGTTGTTCAGGAACGTTGTCTGAATAACACTTGTCAAGATCAAGGCGATCATTGGAGACTGTTCCTCTTATTTTCATTTTTGTTATAAAAATGTGTATTGATCTTAACAAATGTTATTCAAAGCATAATCCTGAACAATATTCAAGAGGTTTTAGCCATTGATCGGACACCTTGGATAATGCTAACGTTGGTGGTACTGTAACTTCCAAGCCTCATAATTCGAAAAGTACTCTTAATGAAAAAATATTTTATTATAGCATTTTGGAGAGCTCATAAGATAAAATACAATAAAAAATAGAGGTTTCCATTTTTAAAAAACGATGTGACCTTCGGCTGACCTTAGCGACGCCACCCAAGGTCAAATAAATAGTACCTTCTTGTCTCCCTCCGAACCGTATAACTTTTGTTCTTTTCGATTTTTTCTGTACATGCGTTGGCTGTAAGCCAAAAATACGGCGACCTTCACACAATTGACGTATTAGGTTAGAAAACAAGCTTAACAGAAACCCTAATTACCGTCTTTTTAGTTCTGGGCCACAAATTTATATGTACCTCGACGAATTGTTTGTCCGACACTTTTGAAAAACTTGTTTTTACGCAATAAAGACTTATGAATAAAAGTGTGAATACAGTAGAACCTGGATTATCAATTTTTTTTATCTTCCAGATTATCTGACCTCGTTATTGAATTCTCGTGATAGCATTAGGCCTGTTCTTTTTGGCTGAACTTTTGCACCAGTTCATCTTTCTTCCTTTTCTCTCCAGGAGGAAAGAAGAGGAAGAAAGATGAACTGATGCAAAAGTTCAGCCAAAAAGAACAGGCCTATTATGCGCGATATTTTTGAGCGTGCATTACCATCATAAAAACTCGATAATGTGGTCGGATAATTCGGGAGATGCAAAAAACAATGTTAGATAATCCGGGTTCTGCTGTATATTTTTCATATACTTTTCAAGTTTTCATAACTTTTTATTGCAATTTTTTATTGCAATTTCTTTTAAAAACTGTACGTAATCTTAAAGATATAAAAATAAAATTATCTGGAAACTTTAGATTAATATTCAGATAAATTTATCTAGATCATCTAGATTAATTAAAATAAAATCTTTATATAGGATATATGTCCAAATTTTCATCTTATATCTTTATCTAGCTAATTTTAAAATCACCTATGCACTACACTGCACTCTCGCACGCACGCACGCACGCACGCACGCACGCTGTATATATATACACACACTCATTTACATACACATATACATATACGACGTAAGGAAAGAGGTATTTATAGCCGAGGGTTCACTCTCGCTCGCTCAGTTTTATTATCGTAATAACGTTAAGGCGGCTTCCTTTGAAGATGCCTGAAGCGAGATAGCCCTGACGAGTAAAACTACGTATTTTTGTAGCAGCTGCGTTCCCCATGCGCACGTGTGCGTGGCGCGCGTGGAGGCGTGTTCATGCGTGTATGAGAATATCGTCGGCGGATGCGGATTTGATATGCGCTTTTCACACGATGAGCCGGGAATGACGATAATGTTGGATCTACTGGGAGGGAACTTGATGAATCCTTAACTTTTTTCAATAATAGGTTATTGTAACTTATAACTAAACGCCACGCAGACTTGACGTTGAAAAAATATTTGAAAAATCAAAATGGATAATATTTCTAAACACATTGATAATAAATAAGATCTTAAAAGGTATTGATTTTAAATTTTAACGGAATTTTGATTGATTGGAAGAAAATACATAACACTAAAAGAGAGAATAGAAGGGTTATATAAAAGATTTCTTAAAGAAATGTTAATTTATAAATATTTAGTATATTTAATTTATTTTATATTCTAATTTAAAATCTTAAAGGAAATTTTGAAATTTCAAAGCTTTAATAACTCTAAAATTATGTATCCTTCAAGAAGATTATCTTGAAATGACGTGAAAATTACAAATAAGCAAAATCACAGAAAATTTATAATTTTATTGATCAACACTTATTGAATCTGCTTACTTTTGTCATTTTTATCTCGTTTCAAGATACACAATTAATCCCCAAAACTCTCACAATTTCTCTTTTAATTTTGAAAAAGCGTAGCCAACTCTTTCGAAGTGTAGAACTCGATATGATTAACAGGTTGAAATGATTTTGACATTCGAGGACAGAGCTATGGAATTTTCAAAAGAATTCCGTCACGAGTTTCGATGATTACACGATAACGATTCGAAGAATCATGGAACGGCTCTTTTACAATCATCAGTGTGTACACTCGTGACGATTTGCACACGTGCGTTTATCAGTGTCACTAGCAGATACTCAACTCGCGAAGACTTATTGACGGCGCGGCGCGGGCGTAGAGAACGGAGAAAAAGGTGTAAAGGCGAGCTGAACAGCAGGATAAAAGCGAAGAATGAGATAGCAACGTTCTTTAAGCTCCGTACATGTTCTAAAATGTGATTAAAGCTGCTGCAATTTATTTCGAAGACTTGTCAGTATTATGAGACAGACTTGTAACTCACTGACGAATCCAAGGGGGGTGCATGAGGCCCCTTGGAGTTTCCTTTTTAAAAATATTTTGTAATGAAATGTTACATATATTTTTAATATTTCTAAAATGCTTAATCACAATTTTTATGTTCCAAAAATATTTTTTTAATTAAGAAACTCCCATAGGTACTTGCGGCTTACTGCTCTATTAATACCGCGTTATGTAGCATTATACGAAAGTCACTAATTGCAAGACTACATAAATATTACTGTGTCTGCCGATAAGTATCGCTTCTACTGAACGAAGTTTTTCAGTTGAATGAATTGAAGAAACTCAATTTCTCGGAGAAATACCTTAAGAAGTTACTTGCCCAAGGATACGTATTTTTACCTTCTTAGAATTCAAAATTAATCTTCTGTAAAAATGAATGTTTGTATTAAACTTTCTACTTGACAAACTTTTAGTTCAAACTATAAGGAATAATTTAAGCGATATTTTACTGCTCAAACTCGGTTTTTTGTATTATACAGCATAAAAGGAAAAGTGCGTACTCTTGGGCGATTTTACCTTACACCAAAGAATAACGATTTTCAATGCTGCTAACTTTTAAGAAACTAAAATTGCACATAAATTGCTAGAAAGGACCCCGCAGAAAATCATACGATTTTGGCCCTCAGTGAAATTGGCTGAAACTTTAATATGTTATAGTTCTTGACTCATTGATCAAAAGTGTCCATAGACTCAAAGCTTAAAAATGACTAGTTTTTTTTATTATAGCCGTTTAAGTTAAAGTTTTATTTTATTAATGCCTCAAAATCAAGTTTCTGTAATAATAAATCAAGAGATTTTAGATAACAATATGCGAACCCCTCACCTTCACCCACACATATACGCCCGCGCGTGTATTTTTATATGAAAAAGTGGTATAAAAATTGAAGTAAATCTTTTATAATCATGTGTATTTGGATTCTGCTAGATTTTTACGACTTCTCACGCGTATTGTTTGAAATGCGTGAGTTCCCAACTTTGAAAAATTTATTTTAAAAGTAAAATCTGTATATATACTCATTAAACTTAACGTCAAAGATAAAACACGAAAAAAATCACCCAAATTTTTTATTTGCACAAAATATTTACGCGGTCTGTAATACATGAGTCGTTGAAGGCACAAGCACGACTTCTATATTCATCCTTGCAACAAAATAGACAATTGGATACTGGCGTTCTTGTTTGCACACTATCTCAACATTTTTATTAAAAGGTGATACCTATCGTACTCATAAATTTATTCATTTTCTAAAAATTCATGTTGGAGTTTGCAGTTTGGAAGCGTGTTTACGGGATATAATGGTAGTTTATTTTCCACGCAGAGACGGGTAGTGCAGAAAAACTTATCATCTAGCTTCCGAAAGCGAGTCCAATTGCACCCTCTCGCAAAAAATATCCCTCCTCCCTCCCCTCAAGCTTGACATTACGTCCCAATGATTTATGCATCACGTCGCATAAATATATACATGCTGCCTCACAAAGGGTTTCACAATGACTCGATCAAGGCGGAACGAGTGAGCCGCGTAAAGACAAAAGCATGGAAAGAAAAGGAGCGGTCCACAATAAGAAGTAAGTCGGTTCTGCGACTGTCCGTCCATTTGTTCGTTTCTTTTTCTATCCGTGAGTTGTCTGTCAAGTCGCTTCGGAAATGGTCCGAAGAGACTCGTACACGGGAGCGGAGGAGAGGGTGGAAAGAGTAGGATGCGCCGTTTCCTACAATTTCTACTCCATCTTTTTCTGGTCATTCCCAGAGGAGAAGAATGCTAAATTATGAACGAACCAGTCCGCTCAGATTTCTTCGTAGGCATCGCGCTCTTTCTTTTGCTTCTCCGAGTTTGAGATAACCGAGGCGAAAGCTGAGATTACAAAAAGAAACTGATTACACGTATAGAGAGTAACGTAATTTCAATTGTTTCGATTCTCAGCTCCGTATAGAAGAGCTGAGACTTATTGTCTCTATTATTGTAACTGTGTTTATTCGTATACGTATAGGGGAAACGAAGAAATGTAAGAGAATTGTCAAGAAAGAGCACTTTGAGACGTAGCCTGAAGATGTTAGATGAGTCTGAGACACTTTAATTATAAATTGAAGAACAAAAGCAATTTATTGTAAGGAATTTGGCACTTTCACCTATATAGGGTGTCCCATTTTAATCGACCACCTCAAATATCTCTTGAACAGTGCATTTTAGGGAAAAATGTTTCAGACAAAAGTTTTGACTTCAAGGAGGACATAAGAAGATACCACTGGTTTGATCTTAGGTGGCACCGTCAAGATCAGAGCAAGGTTATTTTGAATTTTTTAAATGGATTTCCTCCCCCATTTTTCATTATATATTCTTGTAGCTTATAAAATTTTTGAAACATTTTTCCCTAAAATATACTGTTCAAAAGATATTTGAGGTGATCAATTAAAATGAATTGTAAAAATCGACCAAACTGTTTCTAATTGTTAATAACTTGCGCTTGAACTGCTTTCGATTCGAAATTCATACTCGGACTGTTTCCGATTATTAACTTACGCCTTTTGACTTGCGTTGAGACTGTTTCCTACTGTTTCTTTACAGTTTACTCTCACACAATTCTTGACCTTCTCTCTCGAAATTCAATTATGCTCTCTCATCACGTATCACCCTTACAGCTATTACATACTTAATCCTCTATAAGTATATAGTCGATAAGTATATAGCCTATAATCTTATAGCAATATTATTTTTATCCAGATATAATATAATCGCGAAAATCTCAAGTGTCCTCCTTCCGATATAATTATGTTTATTTTATACCGTGATGGTTATAAAAAATCTTTTTGAATTATCTTATTGTTAGTCTTTAGAGGCACATAACATCGTCGTTCTATCTAGTTATACAACACACAACGGATTTGGACAATGGCTACATTCAGCAGAGAAAACCGCTCACTGATCACTACTACGTCTGCGTAGCTGATCCCCCTACTTAACCAAATCTTAATGAATAAATTATACAGTAATACACTATTTATGCATTTTCAAAATTCGCAAGAAAAAATTTTTGCGCTCATTTCGATTAGCTAAAAGAAATTTTTTGTGGGAGGGCTGAGTAGGTTGTCAGTTAACTCCCCCCCCCATGTTTTATAACAACCGATTTGGAAAATCAAATACACAAGATTTATGTGCTATTTATGCACTTTCATATTCACATAGTTTTAATTTTTGCGCTGCATCCCGTAAGGCATTTCCTTCGTGAAGCAAACAGTCGTATTCATTCCTAAGTCGTTTAAAATTGCAAAAATTACACTATCTAGCAAAATATATCTTCGATTTACGCGCTATTATTTTCAAGCGATTTCGATTTGTGCCCTGCAACCCTTAATGGACCCTCTTGGAGCAAACTGTAATATTCATATCTAAATCATTAAAAATTTATTACTGTTTATTATTTCTCGCTTGAAAATAGTAGCGCGTAAATCGAAGATATATTTTGCTAGATAGTGTAATTTTAAGCGACTTAAGGATGAATACGACTGTTTGCTCCACGAAGAATCCCTATTAAGCTAGTCCCTCTACCAGCGATAAATGAATTCTAATACATCCCAAAATTAAGTGCTCAGTGATTCTTTAATATAATTAGTTCTTGCCTTTAATTCTTTACTGGATCTAAGTGTAGGAAAAACTATGTACACCAAAATATACGATTTCTAATAGATTGTAATTTATTATTTTCTGTTCTTGTTACCTATGTTTTTCATTGTATTATGTTTAAAGTTTTAGATTAAACTATATTTTATTATTTGTTATCTGCGTCGTTAAGGACGTTTACTCACATAGACAGCCCTTTTTTGAAACTTCATTGGATATATTCATTTCGGATCTTGCGTTTCAAGATATTAAAGTTATTATTTTTTTTTCTCTCATAATGAATGCAGATTTAAAAAAAAAACGGGTCATTAATTAGTTTTTTACATTTTGTTAATGCTACGGGAGAATCAAGATTTGATCATGTCAAATGACTTCCTCGCTATATTGATTATCGATATACGTCCGTCGCACGTAAAGAGAAGTGAAAACGATCGCATGCGATCTCCGGATGAGAAGTTTCTTTCTTTCTCTCTTTTTCTTTCTCTCTTTCTTTCTCTCTGGGCTGCTCTCGGCTGGTCCACCTTGATGGGTGAGAAGAGAATCCAGAGAGAAAGGCGCAATGCAGGGCAAGCTGGAGGGCTTTGTCGTTATGGGTTACCACGTAATTTCATGAGGCTATAATTTGGGGAGCACCGTAAAAGAGAAGAGCGT